TTTTTTCTGTACAGATTGTTTCAAGTAGAGCCAATATTTGATGTTACTAAAAAGTATTTAATAAAATCTAATAWTAGGAGAAATGCCTGTCATTTTGAACAACTTTCTTTTAAAACACTGGAAAAAATAAATGYATTATTGATGCTGTCGATGACTACTGGAGTTTTATGATCAACAAATATGGAAACATTTACTCTACTCAGCTATGCATTTTACAGATTTCACCAACCACCTTTTTGCCTCTTGCTGTGCAAAGAGGGACTCGTTGGAGATGTGGAACATCTTCCACTAGAGGGCAATTTTGCATTAAATAAAGAAGTTTGATTCACAAAAACCTTCATTCATTTAGGATTTTCACATATTAAATGTTCATTATCTTTCCCATTACAGAGAAGGCACTTGCTTTAAATCAAGCCATGCAAACACAACATCCATGAAAAACAGAAAGTGTTTATATTTAATGAGATTCTAACAAGTCATCCTCAGACGTAACAACCTGAATAATTCTCTCTGAAAGAGTCCTCTTTAAAAAAATGTTATGAAGTTTTGTGCCAGAGCGCTTCAATAGTAGTTTAAAGAGACTGAATGAGGGTAACATAATTTAGCTTTATCTGATGTTCTGCTGTGAGGTAAAACAAACAGAAAAATATGACACATATTTCTGATGTCCTGATAAGAAAAATCTATTCCAATGAACAGAATATTATTAAATCTATAATTCAAAACTTCTTCATATGAGGTCCTTGCTTCCATAAAAAAATTAACAAATCACTGCAAAGCAAACATGATAAGACCCCAAATCAGCAGGAAGACAGTTGTTTGATGTGATGCAATATGACAAGAAAGACAAAAAGTTGTGCTTTTAAATATTTAATTTCACTCTGAATTTTTGCTAACTGCAATCTACTTTTAGCTTTTGTCAGTGTTGCATCACAACAGATAAATCTGTACAATAAAAGTATAATGAATCCCTGGAAGCCATGACACTCCAATGTACAACACAACATTAATGTTCCAGGGGTGGAAAAATGGGCCTAAAAAGTTGTTTTCTGGAAAAGGGGTGTGTTGTATAATGAGTTCAATATTTCATGATTGCAGTAAAACAGTTTACATGTAGCCTGTCTATAAATGTTTAAAGCCAAAATTTGTTTTGAGTCATTTTGCATCATAAAAAGATGTATTAAGGTTTAATGTGGTTATTTCCAGTACGAAAGCAAGAATTTCTGGTCTAAGCAGTTAAAGAAATGAAAGCAATAATCACCAACATATTAGAGGAGAACTTCTTTCATTATACGACACTGCTGATGTGACTCCAATGGCCCACTGTGGGACCCTCTAATAACTCATTTCCTCCTGTGCTGATTGACTTGGCTTAACAATATATTGTTAAAATCCATCATTGTTTATCATTTATTGGAGGAAGCAAGAACAACGAAGCTTGTTTTTTCACACAAGTGTTTTTCATTTTCTACTTTGTTCATCACTTTTGTTGTTATGCTTGGTCAATTTACAGTTTCAATCCTTGTCCTGCAATAAAAACTGGAACTTCTGGCTGACCTTAAAATGATTGAAAGCTCCAGTGAGTTGAATGTAATGAAGATTTGCAATAGCTGCAATGGTTTAGAAATCAGTGGCTATATTTTGTGTTACGACCCACTGTTTTTTTTCACAGATTTATGTGWTATAGAATAATAAAGAGAAATGTAAAAATAAATAAAGTCAAGACAAATTAAACTGCARTTAGTTTAAGCAGGGAGATCAAAATCACATTAATCTGACTAACGTAATCTTTTCCATTACCACACAGGTCAACCATGAAAACAAAATGGGCCACATTCAGATCACTTTCAGCTCGGAAGTTCAGCAATAAGTGAAATATTCCTAAAAGTTCTGCAAACGAGCCTGAAATGGAGCGGAGGGGGTAATTGTGTGCGGAAAGAGCAATGTGCTGAAGAACATGAGAGGTCGTAAAAAAAGGAGCAACACATTCAGCCGAGTGAAGATTTCTCAACTGGAAAACAGTTTGCAGTAAGAAGGCAGGTGCTGCTGATTACCTGGGGTTAGTGGCCAACRGAGGCCTGTTAAAGAGGGGAACATATGACACAGATGTGGATGAGTGATCTTTAGGYAATAAAGCTCTCATTTTTCATCACATTGTCTTGCTTTATGATCCAATAAGACAATCTACGTTAAACCTCAGAGTATCTGTTTGCTCATCTGTGGTAAAATAAAACAGAAATGAAGAAAAAAAATGTAATTGAAAGAAAATTTTATGAAAAATCACATATGCATCATTGTGTTCTCTTTAAAAGGGGCACATGCAAAATTCACTTTTTTGGTCATTAAAGACATTTTGTTGGGTACTTGCAGTCTTTAGGAGTGCAGAAAGGTTGAATATAGGCACTCTTGGTGCTGCGAAAATATATTTATATTGTTTCGGGGTTTTTCTCTATTTTCTATCATTTTCTGAGCTTTTACATCAAATTATTTGTGAYGGAGCTGCCAAATAAGGTCTGGACTTATTTGGACGAACTACATTTTCGTTGTCCAAATTCTCCTCTGGCTCTGAGTCAAGTTCTGGTTCTGTTATGTAAGACTGAATGAACACGTTTTCTGTTGTTTGCATCTTTTAATTAATTTGTAAATAAATCGTTTCTGCACTGAAAGATAGACATAAACCCCACTAAAACTAGAATGGACCGGTCTGGAAGCTGCAGGGGGCAGGGCGTGATGCGCCTTGTTTAGATTTAAAGGAACAGCATCAAAACGGGCTGCTTTGAGATACATATCAAAAAAGGGGTGAAAGACGGGCTGGAAAATTAAAATAAGCCCTAACTGAATGATTTAATTGTGAAAAAGAATGAATTAAAAGCACATTTTTACTTTAGCATTTTCACTGTGCTCAAAATACACATCAGTTTGGGGAAATATGCAAATATGTTAGATGATAAACAAATAAACAAATTATGAAAACCACAATCAGATAAAAAGGACTTCAGGTCATGCTAACTTTGCACATGAGTTTGTTCAAGTTTCCTCTCAAATAATTTAAAAACACTTAATTCAAACAAAGTGAAGATTCAAAAATCTGCCTGTTAGTCTGAATGCTCATATGCACGTTCTCTTAGATCTGTGACGGACTCTCACAATGTGTTCCTGCTTAATTACTTTAGTGTGTTTTGAACTAGAAGCAGAAAATTCAATTCAAAATCCTGGAGAGTAAAACAAATCTTTGTTTAAGGCTTATGCCAATTTTTGTTCTGATCCTATATATTTGCTTAATTTATGTATTGTGCAGTCTATTTTCCCTGATGCCTGGAAGTTTGCTCAGATTACTCCCATTTTTAAATTTGGTGATCCAACAGAAGTTTCAAACTATCGGCCAATTTCTGTTCTTCCTATTTTTTCTAAGTTACTTGAAAAAACATTATTTAATCAACTACTTCAGCATCTAGAAGCTAATAATATGATAAGCAATAGCCAACATGGTTTTCACACGTCGAGGTCAACCATGTCTGCATTCATTTTATTCACTGAACAAATACGTGCTGCTTTGAACAAAGGTCAAGTAACTGGTGCTGTATATATTGATTTTCGTAAAGCGTTTGACACAGTTGATCATTATACTCTCTTACAAAAGTTGATTTCTTTTCAACTTTCATCATCTTCAATACAAATGTTTTCCTCTTATTTGACTGATAGGTGTCAGGTTGTGAAACACGGAAGCTCTGTGTCCGGTCTCTGCCCTGTTCCGTGGGAGTTCC